AGGATACTTTCATTACTTTGCTCCTTGATTTGAAATATTTCATCTGCCAAACCTCACATTTACCAAGGAATTCTTTATTTTCCCACTTTTAGTAACATATATATAATGATAACAAATGCACAGGGCACTTGATGTGCTGAGTGCTGTTCTAATGATTCACTAATTAACTTCTTTAACTTTTCTGACACTAGAGGAGATGAGTACTATTATCTTCGTTTTACATATGCGGCACAGAAAAGTTAGGCAACTGGAGGAGCTAGGAGCTGAGATTTGAGCACAGGCATTTTAGCTCTGGAATCAATGCTCTTAACCTCTGCACGTGCTGTTTCCCATTTGTAGTATCTAATTAGCAGGGATCGGGGAAAGCGTGTGCCTCTTTTAATTTCAGAAAAATGGAACCAGGAAAAACATGATTTCTGCCAACGGGCAGACACCCCAGGTAGAAAAACCATTCTCCCTGGAGTCAGGTCACTAGAATCCAAGGTCCCACCTTTCCCTTTGACAGCTTTATACCCGTGAGGACGTCTTTTAAATTGCCAAGTCTCTAATTCTTAGAGTGCAAATAAGGGTATGAAGATTTATCCTGCCTATCTCATTCATTACTTCAAAAAAAAAAAAAAAGAAAAGAAAAATCCTTCATGGCACAACCTACCATGTGCCAGGCACTGTTGCTAGATCTTGGCATGCAGATATGAATGGGGTGAAACTATTTCCCTGAAGGAATTCAGCATCTAGAGTAGAGGCACAGGAAAATAACCACATACACCCAATGTGACAGGTTGATGCCATAGGAGTTATTGAATACTAGCAGAGTGGAAAGGAAGAAGTGTGTCCCATTTCTCTAGAGTGGGCTGATGGGGAAGGAAATGTCAGGAAAACATCATAGAAAAGATGATTCCTGAAATGAGTCTTGAAAGACCAGGAATATTTCACATGGCACATAATGATGGGGAAACAGGATATGTGAAAACATGAAGATACAAAAGGAAGATATGTTCTAATTTCAAGCACTTCTAAAAGTATGGAAGACACAACTCCTGGGCAGTTAGCAGGAGGGGAGATCGAATCATATACAGAGTTGGAAGTGTAGGGTGTGAGTAACAGGACAAGGCATTTTGTAAATTCCAAAGCATGATATAAATAGACAATAGGATTTGGGATCATCTTACTGAGGACATGGGTCTGTACTGATGGCTCAACATTTTCCTGAGTTGCAGGATACCAGAACATGCACAGCTCTGGATCCTAGAATGCAGGAACTCTTTAAAGAGCTCTGAAAAGCTTATTCCTGAGCACTGATCCAGAAGCACATGAGATGTTGAAACCACAACCTTTTTACCCCTTTTCATCCAGAATTTCAAACGAAATACTGTAGTTCTCAATTAAATGCTTTGCAGCTGGAGAAGCCAAACTTGTGCTTCTGACAGAACCTTAGAGAAATCACAGAGGCCTAAAGGATTCTAAACAAAGAACTCTGGCCATCCCGTTTTGGAGAGACATGAGGGCCGGGAGACAGGCTGGATTATTCAGATAATTGTTTTAATTTTCTATTTCACTTTGCTTTTGTAAATGAGGAAGGAAATGATGAGCAGAATAATTTAACTTAGGTCTCCTGAAAACACATTTATTCTCCCTTCCCTCATTGACTCTTCATTTTACTTTTGGAGAATTTCAGTAAAAAATAGGAATATGCATTGTCTAGGGGAAATTACACTGGCATAATAAGTCCATGAAATTTTCAATGGGGCACAGGTGGGAAGAAGACAGCTGTTGCTCATTTAGGCAAACGTGCATGTTTTTTAAGAGGAAATTATGTGTAAATGACCAAAATAACAGCTTTCCTGAATAATTGAGATAATTGACACCATTCTCCTTATTACTTTGTTGGTGTAAGCAAAAGTTTTGTGGACTTTAAAGATGCTACTCTATTTCTTTTACCTTCACTTTCGCAGGTGTACAAGGAAGATGTTGCTAACTCTATCTGTACAAAGCTCACATGGATTTGATCATTTCATTTGCAAGCAAACAAAATCTTTTTCTTTAAAGATTTTATTTATTCAACAGAGAGAGAGCACAAGCAGGGGGAGGAGCAGAGGGAGAGGGAGAAGCAGACTCCCGCTGAGCAGGGAGCCTGATGCGGGGCTCGATCCCAGGACCCCAAGATCATGACCTGAGCTGAAGGCAGATGTTTAACTGACTGAAGTCACCCAGGCGCCCAAAAATCTTAAGGAAATAGTAGCTTGTTTTGTTACATGTGTAGTCTATGCTACCTTATGTCAAATAGCAAAGTCAAATCAATGTTCATAGAGGAGAAATTACCTGCAAGTCACCAAATTAGGTTTTAGATAGTGAAAGAGAAGTCCTACAGTATTATAACAGCTTTCAGTTAAATTAGGGATAAATGTGTAACAAGTTTGCAAAATTAACTGATACCTCAACTTGGATTTGGAGAAATATATAATTTTTTAAACTAATTTGATGTTTATCTAAAGCCCCAATCTGTTAGGAAAAATAATAATGATATTAACTTCTACTCCCATCCAATTTAGACTTTAATCTGAACCAATATTATAAATAGCCCATTTAGGCAATTTTTAGTATTTTCTGAGTGAATATATTTAATTTCTTAGATAGTTTCCACTTCCCGGTTTTTCTCCCCAGGACGATACCCAATCTATAGGGAAGAGGAATGATATGCCAAGGCTGGCAGTGGTGGGGAGAGGTGGCAAACGGGACCCCTGACCTCATGCTTGTCCTTGGGCTTGCACTGGCTCTCACATTCTGACAGGGGCTCACCTTCCTGCATTTACAGGCGCTGGTATAACTCTTGATCCGAATTCTTTCAATTCTGTGGGCCTGCTATCTGGCACTGAATGAGCCAGCCTCACAGGGCCTCCTTCCACCACCCCCAGCCCTGCAGCCCATACTGGCCTTCTGTAGTGCCTCCCCTCGCTTGCCCCTCAGTTCACATCAGGACCACACAAGAACCTCAGAGGTGTCCCCAGCCCCCACCCACACCTCACCAGCCTGCCTCCTGACAACAATGTGCTCTTTGCTCCGTGTTACTCTCAACTATCTCAAACATTTCCCGATGCCTGAGCCCTGACATGAAAAGAGAAAATCAGGAGACCTCTCTTTCCCAACATTTATGTATTAAACATATATTAAACATGGAAAGATTCTAAATAGCAGCAAAAGGGTTTTCTGTTATGATCTGTTACCATAACAACAACAACAAAAAATGTTCCAGAAGTCAAACATGCAGCCCTAACTCTGTCCCTTCTTCCCTTCTAAGAGCAAGAGGTTATTTGCCCACATTCATTTAATTCACTCAAATCATGCATGACAGACACTCGTCTAGGCCTGGCATCTCAGCAACGAAAAGCAGCCAGGCCATCAGAATGTTACTTCTCTAAGGGAGAAGACAGAGAAATGGATGCAATCAGAGGACACAGAAATCTGCTGTGATGGAGGAAGCACAGGGCACTGGAGAGCCCAGAGCCAGATGGGGGAGGCCAGGGAAGACTTCCCTGTGCGTCAGCCAGCGCCTGAGCCGAGTCCTCAAAAAGAAACAGTACTTGTCTAGAAAAAAGCAGCAAAAAACGTGGACTGCATGAGAGGCAGAGGCACGGTAGGACAGGGAGGTGCGAGAGAGTGTGGCTCAGTAGCGGAACTGCCAAGTTCCTTGGCCTGGCTCCCCTGAACAGATTATACATTCATCTTTCCTGTCCTCTCCTGAGAGGCTTTGATTTTGACTTGATTTCCCACAGCTGTGAACAAAGGCTTAAATGCAAAGTAGAAATGAACAGGGTCATACAAAATGAAAAACTTGTAGATGGATACCTTTTGGAGATGAAAGCAAAAACATTTTACAATATTCCTTAAAAGCATATGAGTTCACTTCTAAAGATTTCAGGCTGCCTCTTGATTTCAAACAGCAGAATAACTGCCTGTTATTATTGGTTTCTTTTTTTTTTAAGATTTTATTTATTTATTTGACAGAGAGAGACACTGCGAGAGAGGGAACACAAGCAGGGGGAGTGGGAGAGGGAGAAGCAGGCTTCCCGCTGAGCAGGGAGCCTGATGCGGGGCTCGATCCCAGGACCCCGGGATCATGACCTGAGCTGAAGGCAGATGCTTAAGGACTGAGCCACCCAGGTACCCCTACTGGTTTCTTTCTTTTTTTTTTTTTTTTTTTTGCCTATCTAAAAGATTTTCCTTTAATATTCTCCACCAATTACAGAATAGTGGAAAGGTAAATAACACAGGAAAATTCCAGAATTTACAAATGCCATAGTAACAAGGCAGGATACCTAAAGAATGCATTGCTTAAACTATAAAATAATTAGAAAAGAATAGCACTGAATATTTTTGTCTTCGTCCTATTTTTATGTAAATGAGGATTCTTTAAAATGTGCACATCCCACATTTATTTAGGCCATGTAGAAATAAATAAAATAAATTAAAGACAATGATGCCACAAAGAGGAGGACTCCCAGTACAACACAAAAATATGTCAAGAGGATGATAAATCAGTAAAGGTTGAGTATATTCCTAAGGTGAAATTCCTAGGAAATTAGCTAATTGGAATGGTTGTCTTTATAATGGATGCAGTTTACCTCTAAACTGAAAACTACAAATGTTTATGCAGCTCACCAGAACTACCAAGATTGTCTATCTGTTCAATCTGGTTAAGAAAAAATATTTAGAGGGGTGCCTGGGTGGCTCAGTTGTTAAGCGTCTGCCTTTGGCTCAGCTCATGATCCCGGGGTCCTGGGATCGAGCCCCACGTCAAAGGGGAGTCTGCTTCTCCCTCTCCTCCCTGCTCATGCTCTCTTCTCCCTATCTCTGTCTGTCTCTCTCAAATAAATAAATAAAATCTTAAAAAATATATGTAGAGAAAAGGTGAACATATCCATTCAAAAATATGTTCAATATCATTTTAGTCAAGGGAATTCCACCTGCTAGAATGGCATATAAAAAAGTTTAATTTGAGTGTGGAGGAGACGGAGTATTCTACCTTGTAAATACTGTTATTTGTATATACTGTAAATGATGACGTCGGTGGGCACTAACCGAGCCCGGGGAAACTGGGAACAACCTCAAAACCAAAACCAGACACAGCACAAGCAGCGGCCACAGGCCACTGCGGAACAAATTCGACTTGCACAGATGATTTCAGACCATAATGATGCTGACTTTGAGGAAAAGGTGAAACAATTGACTGATATCACAGGCAAGAACCAGGATGAATGTGTCATTGCTTTGCATGACTGCAATGGAGATGTCAACAGAGCCATCAATGTCCTACTGGAAGGAAACCCAGATACGCATTCGTGGGAGATGGTCGGGAAGAAGAAGGGCGTCTCAGGACAGAAGGATGGTGGCCAAACGGAATCCAACGAGGAAGGCAAAGAAAATCGAGACCGTGACAGAGACTATAGTCGGCGACGTGGCGGGCCACCAAGACGAGGGAGAGGTGCCAGCCGTGGACGAGAGTTTCGGGGTCAGGAAAATGGATTAGATGGCACCAAGAGTGGAGGGCCTTCTGGAAGAGGCACAGAAAGAGGCAGAAGAGGACGTGGCCGAGGCAGAGGTGGCTCTGGTACGCGAGGAGGAAGGTTTTCTGCTCAAGGAATGGGAACCTTTAACCCAGCTGATTATGCAGAGCCGGCCAATACTGATGAGAACTATGGCAATAACAGCGGCAATACGTGGAACGACACTGGCCACTTCGAACCAGATGATGGGACGAGTGCGTGGAGGACTGCAACAGAGGAGTGGGGAACTGAAGATTGGAATGAAGATCTGTCTGAGACCAAGATCTTCACTGCCTCTAATGTGTCTTCAGTGCCTCTGCCTGCGGAGAATGTGACAGTCACTGCTGGTCAGAGAACTGACCTTGCTGTTTTGTTGGGGAAGACACCATCTTCAGTGGAGAATGATTCATCTAATCTGGATCCATCTCAGGCTCCTTCTCTTGCCCAGCCTCTGGTGTTCAGTAACTCAAAGCAGAGTGCCATAACACAGCCTGCTTCCGGAAACACATTTTCTCATCACAGTATGGTGAGCATGTTAGGGAAAGGATTTGGTGATGTCGGCGAAGCCAAAGGTGGCAGCACCACGGGCTCGCGGTTCTTGGAGCAGTTCAAGACTGCTCAGGCCCTGGCCCAGTCGGCGGCACGGCATTCTCAGTCTGGAACCACCACCACCTCTTCTTGGGACATGGGCTCCGCCTCAAAGTCCCCATCGCTGGTGCAGTACGATTTGAAGAACCCAAATGATTCAACAGTACACAGCCCCTTTACTAAACGCCAGGCATTCACCCCATCGTCAACCATGATGGAGGTGTTCCTTCAGGAGAAGCCACCCGCAGTGGTTACCTCCACAGCCGCACCTCCGCCCCCCTCTTCTCCTTTGCCAAGCAAATCCACCTCGGCCCCACAGCTGTCTCCCGGGTCTTCAGACAACCAGTCCTCTAGCCCTCAGCCGGCTCAGCAAAAATTGAAACAACAGAAGAAAAAGGCCTCCTTGACTTCAAAGATTCCTGCTCTGGCTGTGGAGATGCCTGGCTCAGCAGATATCTCAGGGCTAAACCTGCAGTTTGGGGCATTGCAGTTTGGGTCAGAGCCCGTCCTTTCCGATTATGAGTCCACCCCCACCACGAGCGCCTCTTCAAGCCAGGCTCCA